CCCAGGGGAGCCGCCAACACAGTCCCAAACTCAAGCCACCACAGGGTGTGTGCTGCCAGACTGGTTCTGTCTGCCTCCCTTCAGTCCCAGCTGCAGACCTACCCGGCTGAGATCATCCCTACAGCACGGAGCCCACAGCTCCCCTTCCGCCTCAGGATCCCTCCCATCTGGTTCTTAGGACCCCCAGGGTGGAGGGAATTGCACCCACCCCACCTCTCACCTTATTCAAAAGGGTCAGTTTGATCTCTTTGTGGGCGCTGAACCCCCCCTGAGGCTGGGGGGCTGAGGGCTGCTGGCCCTGGAGGAGCTGCTGGGATTTGCTCCCCTGGGTGGGCTTGGCTGATTTCAGGAGCTGAGCTGGCACATCCCGTTTCCTCTTCTCCTCTTTAGTGCTGTCTTCTTTTTTTGACTTTCCTGTTGAAACCAGAGTGCAGATGTGGTGACTTGTGACTGATCCCTTTTGCCAGCCATCCCTCTGGAGGGCAGGGCAAGAGGACACTGCTCCAGGGATGGAAAAAACCCACACCAGTTAGGATAGCACGTGACCCCAAGGTTAAAAGATCCCAGAAACCAGAATCTGCACAGAGAAGATGCTCAGCATAAAAAGGCAAAGAACAAAAGGCTCTTGCCTCCAATCTCTGCTACATGAACAGAGGAAGAGCAATGTGATCCTGGAGTTGCCCAAAGGATTTAGCATCACCTTGCAAGGGTGAAAGAAAACAAGGTACAAAAGGGGACATCAGGCCAAACTCCCAGGCAGGAAAAGGCACCTTCACAGCCAGAGACACATGGATGTGAATGTCTGATTGCTCCACACTACCCCTTCTCCATGGTCTCACCCTCCCCAGTTGAACCCTCTGGGCTCCTCCAGTGTACACCAAGCACAAGCACCTGCCTCTGCTCAACCACTGTCGTGGAGCCCACAGCACCACCAGGCAAGCTGTACGCAGACCTCTGCTCCCCCGCTTCTTCTCCCAGAACCCCTTAGGAGAAGAAAATTCCAAACCAAGTACCTCTACCTTTCTTCTGCTGTGCTGGGGTTGGGGATCTGGAGCTGGCTGAGGAGACAGGACTGGCCAAGTCCGCGTACATGTCCTCGGAGTCGGCGCTGCGTACGGAGCTGCTGCTGGAGGAGGCACTAGAGACAGAAGAAACGCTGCTCACGCTCAGGGACCTGGAAAGAGCCAACAGCCCGTTACAGTCAGGACAACAAGAACCAGGCAGCCATCAGACACCTTTGTTTCCCTTCTCCTGAGTGGCTTCTATGTCAGAAAGCTGCTGGAGCAGGCAATGGCCAGGAAGAGAAAAAGGCTGCATCTCCTGGGGGTGCAGATGACATGAGACACCCCAAACATGTTAGATACAAGTCTAGAAAGTGCTGTTTATTTATAAACAGGATTAAGGCCACATGTAAACAGGTCAGTTTCCCCTGGTAAACAAAAAGTGAAAGCAGAGTGTGTGCTATCAGGTACAGGCCAGTGTTATGGCCCGGGTCAAGAGTTCCCTGGCAATGTTTTTGTGTTTGGCACATTTATATCCACATGGGCTTGAAAAGCCCTGGAGTCCTACAGCCCACAGCTCCTGCCCAGCTCCCCAGGGTACAGGAGAGCCCAGCTGCCTGTTTTGAGGATGCACAGGCTGTCACAACTGGTAATGACAGGGAAGACTGCTATAAGATGACTATCTTCTAACAGGGCCTTCAGATGGCAATCTCCTAATGGATTCACAACATGAAAAATGCCAGACAATCATTATGTTCAGGCAGACTTTCAACTTTGAAACATAACAGACAAAAACACTGGGCTGTGCCATCAGGCTTCCCCTCCAGGGGCCCACCACTGCAGCAGCTTTGTCACACTCAAGTGGCTTCCAAAAATCCTGGCTAGCTGGGAACTGGCTGGCATGGCAGCCACCAACACACAGGACCTGGCAGCCTCTCCAGGAGGTTCTGCAGCCACATAACTTCTGCACTCCAGTGACTGCCCTGCCAACAAGGGCCAAGCTCACTTTGCTGGAAACCATCTTCAGTACAACGGAACACAGACAATCCCTGGAAGGTGCTGCAAAGTTGCTCCCTGCTGGTGTCCTGACCAGAGAGGAGTTTTGAGAGGTCTCACTGACTGCCATGATGGTGACTGGATGAGCCAGAAACCTCTCCAGGAAAGATCCCAGCTACGAGGTTGTGACAGCAAACCCACTTTGGGAACAGACTGTATTGCCCAGGTTTCCTCCTTTCCCACACAGCTGGAAGAGCAGCAAGCACAGCCCTGCTGCCACACAAGCCACACTTGCACTGAGTTTGCCCCCTCTCCTCCTCTCAGGCCCCGTAGGGCAGCCTGTGTGCCCAAGTGCTCCCTGAACCTCTTGCATCATCCCTGAGCAACTTGATGAATGCACCAAGCACGTAGTAAACAACTTTGTATTTCCTTAAAATAACACGGATGTTGAGCCTTGGTCACGGAGTTCAGGGATGTGAATTATCACTGCTCAGAACCAAGTCCCTCTGAATCCACTAGTTTTACACTACAGGTCTACTTTTAACTCTGTATTACAGGGAAACTTCAAGGCAGCTCTGAGGTTTACAGGGACTCCTGTGTGCAAATAGATGCAAAAAAACCTGGACAAAGACTGGAAAGGGGTTTACTTCAGGAGTCACTACTGGAGGGAGTTAGCTGCTCAGCAATCCCACAGACTAACAACCATTTAACTATTCACTTGGGGCTACACACAAAAGGAACTGGCCGTGCAACTTTACTAGCAAAGTAAAAATATCATTAGCTGGGCCTTTTAGGCATTTTCTGACCTACCTCTCCTGACAGGCCAAGCATCTTCCCTAAGGACATTCTGTAACCAGCAGTAGGGGAGGTTAAGAGCAGCAAAGCTCCGTAGCCTGAAACCGTTACCTGGTAAATAAAGAAGGATGTGGGAGCACCCTAGCCATAAGGAGATGTTCTGGTGATAATTTAGGTAAAAAGGGGCAGTTGGGCACACATGACAGGTTATTTCCTTGCATAAGCCATGAGGATATTGCCAATGTTGCACTGCTGTAATGGTTCAGGTCTCAGGGTTTGTAATACCACACAAAACCAATCTTGCTTCAGGTCCTAGTTACCTACAGCTGCTGCTTCTTGAGGGTAGAGGGAGTTTTAGCTGCAAGAAACCACAATGGTTGAGAACAGTTATAACTTCAACAAAGGTTACGAAGGGTCAAGGCTGTACCTGGACTTCCTGGACCCCGATGGGGAGTGAGAGACTGAGGCAGATGATGATCTGGAATGAGATCTGGAGAGAGACCGAGACAAGGACCTAGACCTGGAGCTGGAGCCGCTGTAGCTGCTGGCGCTGCCGCTGATGCTGCCACTGATGGTCCTCCTGCAAGACAGCAGAGCCCATCCTCACCTCCCTGTGCTCTGCAGGGAAGTGGGCTTGGAAAAAGCTGTTTTGGGACAGTCTGAGCATGACAGTGTTGCCCTGTATCCTGGTGCTTTGCAAATGTGACTGTTTCAGATGATCCTCTCAGCCTCGGTTCCCAGTCCTGAGGAAGCATCTCTTTCCTGAACAGCAGATGTTTCATGCAAGACTGAATCATGCTAACAAAGGCCAGGCAAAGAATGAGCAAACACCAGGAACAAATGCTTCCCACAGAGAAAACCTGCTAACCTTATACCACAGTGGGGCTACTTTGCATTTCAGATTACACAAACAATCATACCTTTTTTTGACAAACACACCAATACTAACACAAATCGAGCTGTTCTGTCATTTGTACAGCAAGGAGAGTGTAGGGGGCAGTGGGGTTTGTGTGAGTAGAAGCATGAAGAAAACCCCAAACCTTAGGACTGGCATAAAGAAAAAGGAAAGGTGGTTAAAAGGGAAGGTTTAATGAAAGTGAAACAAACTGGAACAAATGGAGTTTCTAGGAAAA